TAGTGACAGGAAATCTCGTTAGCACTTAAACTCATACTAATCAACTTTAATGTAATGACTCAGGTCAGAGTATGACTTCGAACGGATTCAAGAATAAAGAATGATATACAGACCTTTTCTTTTTGGTGTGGGTGATGCTTTTACTGTAGTTTGTTCAATATTAACTTGTTCTAAAGGAATTTCTTGTTGTTTCTTTTGTTTTTTCCATTTGATTAAATACCAAATTTTAACGATAGCCGGTGTGACAAAATCCCAAAGAATACATAAACCACCAAAAGCACTGATAGAAATAGTAATTATAGCCGCTAAATGAAATCGACCTTCGTAAGTGTAAGTAAGTGATCGAGGTGCACAAAGAGAAAAATAAGTTTCAAAGCTAGTTTCATTTTCCCATGATTCAATAAATAACGATTCATCGAACATTGAACCGACTGTTAAATCTGGAGAAAATCTTGTCGATGATCTTTGTAAAGGTTTCGGTCGAGAAATATCTGGTTGAAGTGATAATATATCTATACATGATTGATCATACAGACATTCAAGTGTTGATTGCCGGAGAGATTCCATTGGTAAACAACCAGCCATAAAACCAGCAATCTAAAATCATTTAATATTAATCTTTAGAAAAAGTGTCTCATGTAGATAACTAAAACTGACAGCTTAGTTCTCAAATAGACTTGTAAGAAAACACAAATATATATTTACTTTAGAACCAGCTGATGGCTCTGACATTGATAGTTTATCGAATTTGGTTATTGTTGAATTGTGGAAAGTATAAGCTGGATAAGTACATTGATTTTCTTCTAATCGACAATTACAAGAAGCTGTTGAATTTTTTCTTAAATATAATTCACTGTATATAAGAAAACTATCTTGAAAATTTTTCGATTGAATGAAATAATTCGTACGTAATGCTGATAGGAATCCATTTTGAGCGATAGCTAATAAAATAACTTTCGCTGTTCGATTTTCATTTTCTAGAAGATTATTTTGAAAATTATGCGTTACAACATCGATTATTTCATTAAATTCTGGACGTGAAAAAACTTGACCGGTAACTAAATGAGTACTATTAAATGTACGAAGTCCATCTTCGACTGATTGCATCGCCGTTTGACAAAGTAAAGCAAGCGATTGAAATTGTGCAAAAATAAATGTACGAAAATCGAGTACATTATCATAAGTTTTATTTGGATGAAAGAGAGAAGATATCCATTGATCAGAAACGAATTCACTTGTACAAACTGGATGAAATAATACTGATAAATCAACGAATTCATTATATGGATTTGAAACTTGAGTACAAGGAACATTAATTGTAGTTGGATAACGTGCTTGAAGTTGTTCGAAATCATCGAGAGTAAATTTCTCTAGAGTATTACTATGTGTTCGAATAATAAGACTTGTATAACTAATAACGATTAGAAGAGAAACAGAGAGAAAAAAAAGAAAAAGTCGTGTACTAAGAATTTGTTCAGAAAGATTTAACGATGGTGACCAAAATGGATTTGACGAAAATAAATTAAGTTCACATGCTTGACGAATAATATATGAATAAATAGCTACAAAGCAATTTCTCGATGATCTCGGTGGTTTATTACTCATTGTAAGGATTTACAAAACATCTAAAATACGAAAGAATATCTTACTATTATAATAATCCATTAGATCATTGTCTATCTCTCTTGATGACAAAACGTTTGAATGTTATTTTTCGTCGTTAAGGAATTGGATTGCGTGTAAAACTTTCATATACCATTTTCTTGGGAGGAGTAAAGAACAAAATTATTACCAGTCAAGATGTGTGTATCTCAATGATCGGTTTGAGAAAATAATTACACACATAAAAAATGGTAGGAGATTAAATTTGTTGTACAGATGTTAATATAAACGATAAGACTGAAATAAGCGATTTCTGTCAGTCTCAATGGCATAATATATTACTTTGATTCCTTTTTTTTTTATTTCTATAAATATATATATATCGGTTAGATTTATGAAAATATGTTGATTAGTTTTTCTCTCGTATTAAGCACATACAAGATCGTTTTATTCTCCTAATGTCTCAGACATGCAACTCGTGTAACAAAAGGTTAGTAATTTGTTGCGACTTTTTCTTTTCTGTTATTTTACTCATTGAGAAAGACATGTATAATTATTTATCTAATTCTTTCCGTTCGTTCGATGACAGTATGATTTGATTGATTCATACAACAAGATATAGAGTTATATTTTATCGCATGAAAAGAACAGATCGAATAAGTATGTCATATTAATAGTTTTCCTTAAGCTGTTAACTTTGCGAAGAAATAGAACATATTGTTTATATTTACGAATTCTTTTTGACAGATGTCTTTCTAGATGTGCAGTTATCTAGAAAAAATCCGTCATTAGCTATTCAATATCTCTCAAAGAAGTATTTGTTGATGACGATTAGAAAAATATGATATGAATATTCGTCCTTGAAAATGATTATATTACTATTTGAAATATATCTGTCAAAGGTGCTTACGTATAGATGAATGCTCGAAATAAACCATTAAAGGAATAATGAACACAAAATCTACGACATATTTAGTTTTAAGAGTGTGAGTAAAGAGTATCTATTTTTCAACTATACTTACATATATCCATTTACTAAATACTTATACTTTGTGTAAATATGATCGTAATAAAAAAATGTTAGTTACTTACTATTGTTATTTCTTTAAATATTATCACAAGAGAACTGTTTTTCGAATTCATGCTAAGTTGGTTTTAGTCAATAGGTTTTATTATAATGTGAATCTCTGGAGAAATTTATAATATTATATGTCGCATTCAATTCTATTGTTTTGTTTTGCGATAATTGCGTTTTTTTAAGAAAATGTCTTATAAAATAATCCATGTCAATTTATAAACAAATACTAAACTGATATGTATATATATATATTTAATTCCAATTAATAACGTAAAAAAATCTTGCAGATGACCTTTTTGTAGCATGGGGATCAAACGATAATACAGACAATCAATAATTTCTTTGACTTTATGCAAAAACAATTATATCATTGACTCAAAATCATCAGAGTTTGTTATGTTATTTTTATAATACAATGTCAAACAGTAATACATAAATTATCTATGAATATATCATAGTATCTATAGATTCAGATTATGGAAATACGATTATATTAAGTCTAGACCAATTGACAAGGACTATTGTTTGTAAATATGTATTTGAATAATAACCAGTAATAGAGTTACATGTATTGAATTTAATCATTCCACATATTGATCAGAGTCAGCGGGTGAAGATACATTTAAATAACGGCTATTTATTCAACTAATTTCTTATGGTTTGAAGCAAGTGGACAAGTATATGACTTTTCTAGTGAGAGAAAAAGTCAATTTGTTGAATGTAACTTATCATGAATTATACTCCGAATTTATCTTATTAATATCTAAAGTATAAATGAGAAAACGTATTATGTATTAATAGATTGTAGTAGCGATATTAGAGTATTGACAAATGATAAACATCTTCTGCGTAACATTAGATTTATGTTTATATTAAATTATTTCTAATCAAAATATAATAATTTGATCTATCCTTATTCAAATTATTAGTCAAATGAAGTTCAAAAATCATTGAATATATATATATATCAATTGTTTAGTTTTATGGAAATCATTATTCATGAAGAAAGTTGAACAAGGGAATATTATTGATACATCTTCTCTTCTATATAATTACTATAGATAGTATACATGTACGATTTCACTGATAGAGATATAAGTTAATGGTTATTATTTGTCTTAATTTATGTTCTAGTAAAACTTATACAATGTATTTGATTGACGTGATCAAGGGATGCATATCAGATAAAGATCGATTAAATATAGTATATCCTGCTGATAAATCACTCTGATATAATTAACAATATAGTGTTACTTCATCATAAATAAATATTTTCATTATGTTGTTTTGCACATACAAGACATGAAGAAATATAAACATTGTATCTTTATTACTCAGGATTATATGTGATTTAGATATTTCTTGTATACTTGTGTAGATATGATATTATTGTAGTCGGAAACGTTCATATGTTGATATTAGATAGAAAAAAAAGTTGTTAGTTAAATTAATAAAGTCAGAAACGAAATCTAAAAAAAATAATGCTTGATTCTAAACTTTCGTTTATATATAAACAAATATAAGATTATTTTTATCTTTGTATATATGGCAGAGATCAATCAAATCAAAGCACTAAATTAAAATTTCTGCTTACTTCTTCTTTTTCTTATACTATCTGCCTACTATTCTATAAAGATAATGACTATATTTGGGTTCAACCATAATAATATTGGCGATCAAGAAGTATAGTATCTTGCTAATGTCTTACAAAAAACAATAACGTAATGTTTCTGTTTACATTCTTTATTTCATTTCACCTATGAATCTCTGCTTTACACATACACTCACATCAATGCTGAAAGAGCACTGTACCTTGCCGATATAAAGTAACATTTTTTCTTCAGCTTTTGTTTCATCTCAACACTTATTGAATATTTTAAACAGATACTCAAAAAACTCGATCTGTACATGAATGATATCTATAGACAAGAAATATAGAAAAAAAATGATGACTAATAGTGAGTATTTTTATCCACATGATTACCTTCAGAACCCCATGTGGAGACATAGAAAGAAAAGAAAAAAAAGTCTGACGGTAGTTTTATGTTATCGACAGAAGAAAAAGCTTCATAAATGTGAGAAGTGTAACATCCATTTATGACTGGTGTAAAACAAATATTTCTATATGAAATATATGTAGTTTTTTAGATTCAATAAATGCGTGATATTTTGTATTTAACTTAATAGTGAAACAGTAGACGAATACTTTTTTTTGTTATACGCAATAACAAAAACGGCGAATAAATGTTTTGATAGTTTCTTGTCTTTTTAAATATAATAAATAATGTTTGTCTTCTAGATTTGAAAGATAGATTTAATAATGAAACGGTTTAACAAGTCAGAAATAACAAAAGAATTACCGAAACGTAGTCCACCAAAAATAACTTGGCAACATTCATGGTCATCAGATGAAACAAAGGATGGATTAGACAACTCTAACTTTGGAATTATTCCTACTGAAGTGATGTTGGACATATTCAAATATTTGTCTGTACATGATTTAGGTAATGTATCGTTGACTTGTCGTTCATTTAAAATGATTGCCGATCAGGATGAAATATGGAAACTAAAATGTAATTGTAAGTGTATTTATTTTATGTGTTTAATTTCTAATAATTTTTGTAATGTTAATAGCATCAACAAAATTACATTCAAAATCCTATAAAGAAATCTATATAGACTGGATGTATGAAAAATATTTGCGTAATATAGAATTAGAAGAAGTCGAAGCTCACTATCATGAGACAAGTATGCACGTTGCCTGCGGGATGCGTTCTGGACCACCTCGATATCCTGTTCGACCAGAAGGCAAACATCGTTTTGAATCTATCGGCGGATTTGAAAAACATCCAAATGAATCGCAAGATATGTAAGATATTAGTCTTAGTACTTGATAGATCATATATTGCATGTAAAAATATTTATACAATAGTTTCTCCATATAATCATTTAACTTATATAATTATAAATAGTGAAAAAAAATTACTCAATATAGTAGAGACACAAACATACACACCGAAGAACCACATCATTTTTGTAAGAATTATTCAAAATTTATTCTTATTGTTTAGAACGATTGACTTATCAGTTGATGTCGATAAAACAGCTCTTGAACTTATATCATTATTACAAAAAGCATCACAATTTCAGCCTCAATGGAGACAATCATCGATCATCAAACAAATGATGACAAGATAT